TTTTTAGGAAAAAAAAAATAAAACCGAAAAAAAATGATTGTTGACTTCAACAAACCCGGGGTTGGGGGGGGGGGGGGGGTCCACATTTTTGTGACGAGGGGATTAAACAATGTGACATCACATTAAAAGCGGAAGATTCTGGAAAAAAAATGACTAAATAACACTAAATTACATACATATTTATTTTTAACATTATTCTTTTATACAAAAATTATAATTATTTTATTTTTAAACGACGGTCACCGAGAGAATCAGTAGGCCAACAGGAACGCGAGGTTCGAGAAGTGGCAGCTGATCAAGCTACGGGTCGCTACGGAGGAAGAGAATCGGGGTGTCGCAACTTTGACAGTCGTGAGAATTTTTGTCGGAATGGATTCCGGGAGTCTTAGAATTTTGGGCTGCCAAGTGAAGTGAGATGGAACGGAAAAAATGGTTGGTGGGGGGGGGGGGGGGTTGAGTGTAACTATTTTATATAATTTATTGTACATTTTACTTGAATTAAGTAACATAATTATATAACACTGACTAGATACTGATGCCAAACTAAATGGAAGCTAAAGGAAAATGCAAAGCTCTGAAAATAATAATGTACTTGCTGCGAATTTTGTGTAATACTTTGTCTTAGCATTAGCAAGATGCATCTATCATAATATCTTTGTGTATGCTACACTGTAGCCGAGTGGTGAGAGTGGGCGTGTGTTAGCTGCTTGATTACACAATCTTACCCCGCTCGCAGCACCAAAAATTGCAGCCGAGTGGTGAGTGGAGTGGAAACTGAAAGTTTGAAATGTGAATTTGGTTTACAAACTCAAGAAATTCAGGTCTTCGGTGCCCGGTACTATTATAGCCTTATATTGGTTCTTTTTGAGTGCTGTGTACAAAAATAAGAGTGTACAATATTTTTTTTCTTCTTTTATCATATTTTTGTCACTTTGAAAATTGATAGATTTTCACCTACACATTTCAACAGAAAAATTATAAAATAAAACTATATTTCATAAAAAAAGATACAACTAAAACCAATTTATCAATTTACAATGCTCCCGACTCTCGAGAGATCAGTGGGTTAGGGTTAGGGTTAGAAATTGAGTGGGGAAAAATTGAATTTCATTCAATAAAAAAAAATTAAAAAACTTTGTTAGGAGCAAGTCGTATTGGACCATAACTTTGTGGAGATTTTAATCATAAAAATCCGCGTATCCGTTTCAAAGGGGCAATAATAAAAGCGGATCTAATCCATTACCTAGCAACGAAGGAGTAGATTACAGTAATGGACGTCTTTAGACTTACTGAGTTAACTTAGTGAGTGATTAACAAACGTTGAAAACGCACATTCTTTCTCCTCTTCCATGGATTCAGTACTAAACCTTTCGTACGTATTTATAAAAAAATTATTACGGATTAAGCTTGAACAGAAATAGTAATTCATGTCATTGTTATTAACAGTATGATGATTATATTCAGTTTTTTTTTTTTTTAAGTTTCTAGTTTACTAGTAATCAGTATCACTAACTTAGCCAAATTATTTGCATATACCTATACTTTTTAAAATGTGTTACAATTTAGGCCTTAGGCCAATTTAAAAGGCAAAATTGATTTTACCTACTTTTTATTGTTGGCATTGTCTCACTGTGTGTCATATATTTTTGAAATATTTATATTATTATGCCATTGTACGCTCTTTAACTTCAGTTGTAACTGATTTAAAACATTTTTTTAAACTAAAAGATTATATCTAGCCTAAATAGGATATCATTGTGATAATAATGCAATTGTTAAATTTCCAAGATTTAGACTAGTAGGAGTCAGGTTCAGAAGTCATCTGAGCACCAATACCAATATATCTAATATAGTAAAGTTTAGTCCTAGTGGTCACCCAAACTCAAATATGCAACTATTTGTCTTTTAATGCTTGATAGTCAAAATGAACTCTGATGATTGCAAAATTGCATGTAAAGCATGTACAAGAACCTGCACTTAATTAATTAAATAATGTGAAAACATGATTTAAATGAAACCAATTAAAAGGACCATTGACTAAAATTGATTCAATGTATTTGCCAGTGATGCACTGCAGGAAATGGTCTAGGTTAGGGTTAGAGTTAAGGTAATCTACTCACATTATTAAAAATTTCCAATTTGAAATTGGTATATTTTAAAGTTACATGCACAAAAATATATTGAAATGCTGGTAAAAAATAAATATACAAATTATAAAGTTACTCTAGCACCATGGGCGCCCGCAGGTTGGGGCAAGAAGGGGCAGTTTCCCCCCCCCCCCCTGGATTGATTGGATACAAAAATTTTAGACATAAATAGACAAAAAATGTATTAAAGTAAAGAGAAAATAAAGAGAAAGTAACTAAGCTGATGTCCTGTCCGTTCGTTCACCATACAAATACGCTACAGTAAATGAAAACTATATTAAAACATTGCTAAAAATTCCCCCCCCCCTGGAAAGTTAATCGATTTTTTTTCGCCCCCCTAGAAAGTTTTCTGCGGGCGCCCATGTCTAGCACCCTGTCCAGTTAATGCATATTTCTAAAAGAGTTTTCAAAAGCAAATTGTCTCTGGTTAAATCAGCTGCCTTTTTAAAAATATGCTTTTTAACAGACATGTATAATTTTCAAAATTCTCTATGACTTTAAGAATGTACATCCATGTATTTTAATATTATGATCAAACATTATGACTTCTCTGTACAGATGGTGTCATGGTTATAATGGCACACCTATATCTTTCATTGAACCTGGAGTGTTGTGCTACCAATGTGGACGCAACTTCAAGACCATTGCACTTGATGGCAAACATAGTTCATTTGCCTTTAAAGGAAGTGCTAGTGGGCCAATGGCTGTTCACAAAGTCAACAAACATATAGCTTTTGCAGAGTATGCAGAGAATCCAAAAATATTTGTGTATGCCTATCCAACATATTCTGAGATAGCTGTTTTGGAAGGTATTAAAAGGCAGTGTTGATCTACTTGTTATTAAAGTAAAAATAAATTATTAGAAATTTGTTAAATATATCCTAATAAATCATATTTTTTGTTTATTGATATTTTTTATAATTAATTGAACAAGTATAAGTTTAAATTTGTTAAAGAGATTTTCTAATCTTGAAAACCTAAACTGAAATTCTATTAGTTCAGGCTCAATTATGACATATTTTAGACAAGTTAATAAATGCTGGTATTTCATATTTTTGCTACAAATTTATGATATATTGGTGGATAGAGTTGGAGGTTAGATTTGCAAGAGATCATTCTTTTATAGAAATAAATGTTACAATTTTTTAGAGTAAATCTTGGAGAAAAACCTGTTCAAGTGTTTTGAATGAAGTCAATCTGAAAATTAAATCATTTATTATTTTCACTTTAAGCTGCACTGGCACAAAATTAAATGAGGGAGATACCAGTACTTCTAATGCAACTTAATTAGGTAGTTATCAAATTTCAGACTGATCTTCCAGCTCCATATGGAAAATAAATAGTGGAACTACATATTATTGTGTTTGAAAAAAAGACAGAACAACTGTAAGGATGAATCGGCTAAATGCCTTCTTCGGCAGACAATGCAAAACAAGAAAAAACAAATTATTTGAAATTGAAAAAAACATAAATGTTCCCAGATCAAAATGTAGCTTTCTCAGTCTTTGTAAACAAATTCAAATAATTTGTTTTTCTTGAAGAAGGCATTAAGCTGTAACATCCTTTAGTTGTTCACTTTTTTTTTTCAATCCCAAACATATCTGGTTCCACTATTTATTTACTTCACACAACTTGAACGCAGCCACCAAATATCATCCATAAGGAAAACTAGTTAGGTTTTTGGTTACCATTATTCAAAAACGTGTTCCTAGAAAGTCATGATGCTTGCATGAATATACAAACCAATCCTAAATTAAACCAAACAAATTATTATAATTTTCAGTGCTGAAAAATATATGAAGTATAAAGCTGTAAATAAAACTGTATATAATCAAGGTATATTTGTAATATCCCTATGGGTGGCTATATTTTGTTTTAAAAATTCAAATATTATATTCTTTTGATACAGCATAAGAGGGTAGACATATGTGCTAATTTAACTTATATAACCCAGCAACTTTAAAGTTCATGAATCAAATTTTTATCAGACACCATTGTTTAATTTCCACTGGAAACATATAAATCTCATACCTTGAAGACTTTCTTAGTTTTAATCATTAAGGTATGGTTTTTCAAATTTATGGTTGCATTGTGTTTTCTAAATTTTATTTGTAAAATTTATTATTTAATTTTTTTTCCTTCTTAAGGAGGGGCTGACCTTGAGTTCCAAGTCATAGATTTTTCAGAAGGTGATCATATGCTTAGTGTGTCTGGAGTTCCCAATTTTGAAATTGTATTATGGTGAGGTCACTAAGCCTACATTAACTTGTATTATCTTTAAATAAAAAATCTAAATATGAAAAAAATGCACAAACCATAAACATTTATAGTTAATGAAAGCTATAATTTTCAAGTATAATTTTATACAACAATGAATACTAACTTTACGCAGTATTTAAAATTACATAAATAACCATAAGACTTGAATGCATAATTGAATATTTAAATTATTAGATTTAATATTCAATTTTTTCCAAATGCTTTGTTTTCTTTAAAAAAATAAAACTTTGATAAGACTTAGCAGCTTTTTAAAAGAATTAGAAAATTTCATGGTGTTAAATTCTTTTTGTTTAAAGTCTTCACTTCTACTTATTCATTTTCTTAACACAATAGGAATTACCTAAAAGGAATAAAGTTGGTATCTGTGGAAATTTCTCCAGAACCTATTAAAGCCATATCCTTCAATAAAACAAATTGGAGGCAAATATGTGTTATGAATGAAAACAGCATAACTTTATGGAACATTGAACAGTGTGGAACAAAATATCTTATGCAACCTCGGTAAGATTTTTAAAAAAGTATACTAGAGTTCTATTGCGAATTGTGTTTTATTATTTTTAAAAACTTTAGGTCAAAACCAAAAGAAAAAGATAGCACTGAGCCAAGGCCATCAATTTTTTCTCAAATGATTTAAAAATTCTGTAACTATTAAAACGTAAATTTATATTACTTCAGTGGACCCCGCTTATCTCGATCTCAGTTAACTCGCCAACCCTGTTATGTCGACGATTTGAAGTGGAACCGCCTAATTATCTCTTTGTCTTAGCATTTTCTCCTCAATTTTGCCAATTCTTTTATGTCACCAAACCCTGATATCTTGAGCACAAAAGGCAGCCAAAAGTGCCTCTTAACCTCGGTTATCTCAAGCCCCATGACCAATCACCGGCTTTTGAAAGTTATTTACAACAGAAATGTGCCTACTTCAAATTGTAGTAATTGAAATAAAATGACCGAGCAATTAACTTGACACAGCAAGAAGTGTGGAGCGAGAGGCTTGCAAAAAAAAAAAAGAGAGGTTGCAGCACCTGCTCTATTTATAGCAAACCCACTTGTCGCTTGATATAGGCTTTCATGTATTCTTACAGTTTGATTATTTTTTTTAAACCCAGAATCCAAATTTAAATAAGCTTAACTGGCAAATCCAGAGCGAGAGAAAATAAAACTTTCGAATCTGGCGCTAAAAAATATTTAGCCTCATGAATCTGGAAATCCGGGATAATCCAGAAAAGTTGCACCTCACATATGCTTTGTGTTGTTAGCAAACATGTATGTAGATTTTTATTGCATGCCGATCACTTCATCAAACAAATGACGGTAACGCTGTTGTGTAAAAACAACTCTAAAAACACGTGCATGTACATCTCATTTATAAATGTACATCGTGTACACAAAGAAATTTCAAGCACATTTCATTTATCTCAATCATCGGTTATCTCAATGCTTTTTGGCAAACCCAAAGGCTGTCGACATAACCGGGATCTACTGTACTGAGAGGGGTTCTACTGTACTGTTATGGGTTCTACTGTACTGAGACATGTTCTACTGCACTAAGATGGGTTCTAGTGTATTGAGACTAAGTACGACTTTCTAATATTCCAGGAAAGTTATTCTACCACCAACAGTTTCACAGAAATCAGAAGAAAACAGAGATGACACAGTAATGTATGTTGAAAAATCTTCAATCGGGGCATTTAAGTATGTCCTCTCCGTCCCTGAATCCTCAGTGGCTGGACTAGTTGGTGAACAAGTTCACATGTTGGAAACCTTGAAAGATTTAACACCAAGAGTTCAGCCTTCATCCATGGCATGGTTGCCAACTGGAGATTTTCTTGTAGGCTGTGAAGGTGGCCACATTTTCAAGGTATTTTAATACAATTGAAATTATATTTGGCACAATAATGTATGTTTAGCTGAATATAAATAAAACTTAATCCTCTTTCATAATTTGGGCCACTTTTTAATTATGCTTTTGTCTCTTGATGCTTCTTTTTTCTTCTTTTGTTTCGATACCATCTGAAATTAAAATATAAATTAACCAAAGGGTCTTATACTGAGCAAGCAAAGAGAAATATTAAATTATCCATAAACTTAACAAATTGAGAAAACCTTTTTTTTTATTTTTACATCTATTATAACCATAAATTTGATATATTTTTTCCATTAAATTTCTATTCTAAAGTTTGTTATTTATTAATTGCATTAGGTTGACAGTGATTTGGGATCTTCAAAAGTATTGCATTATCCACATGAAAAGACTGAAGAAATTTTTCCTCAAATACAATTAAGTAATAAACATATTCAAGTTTTTTTGTTACACCATAAATCTATTTAAGTCAAATTAAATTTTTTTAAATGTTAAAAATTTCTCTAACAGTTTCTTAGGCCCTTTAAGTGAAATCCAAACTATCGCTGATGTGAAGGCAAAAATTTGATCTTAAAATCATTTAGTCTAGTTTTAAGCGCTTAGTATTGAAAGATTAACACAATTTCTTTTATGCTTTAAACTCTTCTTTGGGGCCATCCATAAATGACATCACACTATAATGACAGATTTTGAGAACCCCCATCCCCCCTTCATTTTAGATTTGTCAGGCAATTCAGACACTAACATAATGCATCATCACAATTTGTTACCCCCCTCCCATCCACCCCCCAAATGTGTGACATTTTTTAATGACTTCCCCCCTTTCATCCTTATTGTTAAATTAGACAGTGTACTCCTTAAATGGAATGATTTCATTATTTTTTAAAGTTGAGTACCATTGGAAAAAATTGTCTGACTCAATGAAATGGTTGAGTAGGTTAACTATTTAAAGATATAATTCTCAGCAAAACCTGATGTGAACTTGCCAGCTGGTTCTCTTGACTGCATGGTTCTGCACAGCAGTGGACTGTTCACCGCTGGAAAGGTAAAATTTCCTTTTAAGATTGAATCTAAGTTGTTAATAAGCATTATTTTATTCATTTTAAAAAGAGAAATTTAGAAATATATATTTGACATACAAGTATTAACAAATGAATTTTTTAATATAATTTTTTATATGATACTGCAGCAATCTAAAGAAGCAGAGGTTTTTGCCCTTGGTAATCTTTTTTGCCTAGAAACAGAAAAAGTAACTTGATAAGCACAAACAGACGTCGCGATAGACATTATCAGCTTTTTTTAAACGAAAGTAGTGTCAATCACATCGATTTTCTAATTATTATTAGTATACTGAATGCATCTTCAGAGTGATGTGTGTATTAAATAAAAGCTTTTGTCTTGGGGGATAATATTTGTTTGTGGAAATTACATTTAACTTTAATATTGAATAAAAGATTACAATTTGAGCTTGAAGACTGCTTCAAAGAATTACTTTGATTAAACTGTATGAATGAACTGTATCATGACTATTCAAAATTGCCAACTGAAAATTTAACGATTAATGTCATCACTTCAAAAATTACATTTTGCCAGAATCAAAGCATTAAAGAAACTTAATATACAATTATATAGTCGATTCTAGTATTTTAGTTTCATTGCAACAATACTGAATTAATAATAAGCTTTTAAATTCTGATTTGCTACAGTTACAGGTACTCAAACTTAAAATTTAATTGCATCTAACATGCACAAAACGCATACAATTACAAAGACTTGCATTTATCTTTCCAATAACACGAAGATTACCCATCTTTCATTTATAGAAGAAAGGTTATGATTTTTTATTGGCCTTATTTAAGCCATGTGAAGCCATCTTTCTATATAATTTAGTTTGTAAATTTCTTGTTTACAATGTTTCAGCAATCAAATTACGTGGAGACACTAACAAAACAATTTGTAACAAAATAAACTAAATAAATTTTGAATAAATCTTTTATCTTTTTCTTCAATTAATATTCGGAAATTTGATCAAAAGAAATTTTATCGATGGAAAATTGATCGACTGAAATTTGATCGAATGGAAATTTGGTGGAATCTTTTTTCAGTTCACATGTTAAACTTTTGCTTCAAATAACATTTCTTTTTGAACGCATTATTTTGTTTTACTACATAGGGATGTGGTGTGCTTAGAATTGACAGTTGTCAAAAATGATACTTTTTAAAAATAAAAATCAAATAGCATAACTATTAAATTAATAAAGATATTAAAATACATTAAAATAATTAACCTTCTCATTTAAAAAAAAAAAATTGACGCAAAGCTACTGTAGCCAATAAATTTGTACATTTATATGCTTTATTTTAAAACTAATAAAGCTATAATAATAAAAATTTCCACCATAACAGATAGTTTCTAGATGAAATGACAGACATTTTATCAATTGCTTTTTCCCTTTAAAATAATTAACCTCCACATTAAAAAATTTTTTTCATGAAAAGCTCTTCCCCATAAACAATGATAACTCTTGGTGACAAGGAAAGTAATAACCCCTGTTGCAGTGTCCCATTACAAAGATTCAATGAAACAAAGATATCTATTTCATATTGCAAATTAATGAGTATCATGCAACCTTGATATTCATAAAATAATAATTCTTTGATTGGGTCACAACCACGAAATTGTTGCACTATATAAGTTTTACCAAAGTAATCACTTAAAAAAAAACGTTTATAGTTTGGGGTCTTTTGTTTTTCAATTTAAAAAAATGTTTTGGATGTTTTAGTTTTAAATATAAATTCAAATAAAATTCAATTACCGCAGCCCAAACATTAACATTTTTTAAACTCTATAGAAATGATATGTGATTACTTTCTAGAATATTTAATAAAAGTTCACATTTATAAAAAATATTTTTTTAAATGGCATATTATTAAGATCAAATGGCAAGATGAACAAAATTGAGCAGTTACATAACAAGAATAAGCCCACACAAGTGAGCCATAAGATTAGCTTCATTAGCCACAAAGCTTCTGACACTTTGTGATATTGCTGGTAAAAGTCATTAAATAATTGCCAACTGGTATGTTAGTGTGCCATGGGAACTCACTATATAAGATTGTATTTCATAATTTCATAAGCAAATGTTTTTGAACCAGCTATCTTATCATATATACATGTTTATGTATGAAGCCATCATACAAATTCACAAGACAAACCAGCCTTATCCACAAAAAGCAGTAGTGTCAAGAAAATACAGCACACTGAGCACAGTTAGAAATGTGCTCCTAACACTTGTGTGATTTATTTAATACATGTATATAATTTTGGAACATGTTTGTTTAGATAGTAAACTTACCAGAAGGGAAAATTTAGTAATGATGAATGTAACAAAAGTACCAGTGCTTGACTTACTTGTTTATTTGAATATCAAATTGCAAATAAAATTAATTAATGTCACAAAACTAGAGCCAAAGGAACTATAACCACTGGCCCAGCATGCAGACTAAATCAAACCAAGAATAGTCCATGGTCCATGGCGAACACAATAAATAACAAAACAGTTAATCAAAAGAATCCTAAATATAATAATTATGTTTGCTTATTCTGAAAAGGCAAAATGAAAAGAAACTCTCATCCAGAGAATTAAAAATATATTAGAGGTAAAATTTAGCTATGAAAGAGTTGTTTAAAAGAACTGCTTTGTTGTATCTGTCTATAAATGAATGAAAAATAATGTTAAAGTTACTTTAGAGGTTTTTCTCTAGCCTCTTAGTTGCTTCATTTTCCCCTGTTTGGCCCTAGTAACAGATAACTAGCTAATAATAAGCTTTTAAAGAGAAAGTTGGATATGACAATCTGTAGAAAAACCTCTACACTTTTATACAAGTTTTGCTTTCTTTACAGGTTACAAATTCTAGTTTTAAATCTGTCCAGAAATATTTGCAAAAAGCTATTAAAAATTTTAATAAATGTATGCATATATGTATACCTCTTACTAATTTGATTTCGAAAAAGAAACACAATTTCATAACATGAAGCTAGTTTGGCACATAAACCACCTGGCTCACCTGATGTAATATGTTACTAGAGCACAAGTTCCCAGCTCTTGGAAAGGGACATCAAAAGGTGTTAAGAAGGGATTTCTCTGGCTTAAATTATATGCTAAGAGAAATATTGAACTTTAAATTGGTTCTTTTTACATTTTTATCTTATATTTTGAGATTAAATGGAAATCATGGCATTAAAACTTTATTGTTTTTGTAATTACATTTAGTTTTAATGTGTTTTCTTTACAAGAATTTACTTTATTCAAGCCTTTTTTTCGATATATAATAGTAAGAGTGACTTTATAAAGTTATAAATAAATGTGGACAAGATTTGAACATGTTGAAGAACCTGTGTACTAGAGTTACTGAGATTAATAATTCAGTGCAGTTAAATAGATTTTACAGGCCCTTGCTTATAACGACAATTTGTGACTATATGTGAGTAAAAGAATGTATGTGGATTTCCTGGGTTGAGAAAATTTCTCTGAAAGTATTTTTGCTTGTTAAATATTGTGCAGGATCCCAGGAGAGAAACTCTTGTTTTAATAGTGGATACCAACAAACAAAACTTTTTGAGAGCTGCAGTCTGTTAGGCCAATTAAGCTATCCCCCAGTGTAAAACTTTTCTCCCTCGTGAATATTCACTTCCTTTTTTAGCAACATACTTCAACAATTACATGGGTCTTGAAGATTTGTCTTTATATTCTTCTTCTTCTATATCTTAAGGGCTCACGATCAATTTATTGATTATTTTGGCTCCTATGCATGTAGATGGGATTTGCAATGTTTCTGTTCCTGGTGTTGATGAGGAAATTTCACAGATTTCCAGTGCCACTTTGTGAGGGAATCATGCACTGGGGGTTTGAAGGCTTGAGGCAATAGACACAAATGTGTCTAGTGTTGTCGCCTCAACTGTTCCTTTTGAAAGATGGTTCCAGTCCCTGATTGTCTTGGGCAGGAATGAGCAGCTCCTATACTGGCTTCTTGCTGGTATGAGCCTGAATTGCCTGTCATGGCCTCGTCGCTGTCTATGGGGGAGAGGGACGAGTTTCTGTTTAATACTGGAACAGTGGACCAGCCCATTATTTATCTTGTACATCATGGAGAGCCTGGATTGTCGTCGTCGTTTCTCCAATGGTGACCAGCCTAGTGTTTCTAGCATGCTGCCAACACTAGAGGTATTCCTGTAGCGGTTTAGGACAAAGCGTGCTGCTCGTCGCTGGACCGCCTCCAACCTGTCAATGCTCTTCTGGGTAAATGGGTCCCAGACTGAAGATGCATAATCTAAAATCGGACGGATAAAGGCTTTATATGCTCTTTCTTTCACACAGGAGTTGCCAATCTTTAGATTTCGCCTTAAGAACCCCAAGGCTTGGTTTGCTTGGTTACATACATTGTTAATATGCTCGTCCCAGCGGACCTCTCTTTGAATGGTAACACCCAGGTACTTTACGGAGGAAACTTGCTCAAGAATATGGCCGTGCAGTTTGTATTGGTAGTGTAGAGGAGTACAACTTCTAGAGATTGATAGTGTCTGGCACTTGGCAGGGTGAAATTCCATGTCCCAGCTCATCTCCCACTCAGCTAACAGATTGAGATCCTGTTGTAGCTGGTCCTGGTCAGATCTGTTGGCGATCGTCCTATACACTGCTGTGTCATCTGCAAACAGTCTTGCCTGTGATGTCAGTTTCTCCGGTAGGTCATTAATGTATGCTAGGAACAAACAGGGGCCCAGGACTGATCCCTGGGGGACCCCTGACTTCACATTGACAAAGGAGGAGCTTGTACCGCCCACCACTACTGCTTGGCGTCGGTGGCTGAGGAAGCTAGAGATCCATGTTTTAGTGGTGCCTTGAATCCCATATATCTGGAGTTTGTGTAGAAGCAAACTATGATTCACCCGGTCAAATGCTTTTGCGAAGTCCATTACTAGCACGTCAGTCTGCTTGTGGTTCTCCAGATTGGTCATCAAGTCTTCTACAAATTCGAGAAGCTGGGTCTCACATGACCTATTGACTCGGAAGCCATGTTGACAGTCATTGAGTATATTTTGGCTTTCAAGATGCTTCATGACAGAGCTTACGATTATGTGCTCCAACAGTTTGCAGACGACGCTAGTGAGGGATATCGGACGATAGTTGGCAGGGTCGGAATGCTCCCCTTTCTTGTAAATTGGAGTGACATGCGCTGTTCTCCAGTCTGCTGGAACATTTCCTGTGCATAGTGACGATTGGAAGAGGATTGTCAGTGCAGGAGCGATTTCTTTGGCTAATTCTTTGAGCACTCGTGGTTTAATGTGGTCAGGACCACATGCTTTGTAAGGATTAATGGTATTGAGGAGGGCAAACACACCTTGTTCTGATATCTGGATATCTCCCATGATAGGATAGGCTCTGTTCATCATTTTGGTTTTCAGAAGGAACTCAGTCTCAGAGTACTCTCTACCGTCACCAAAGACCGACTGGAACTGCTGATTGAGTATCTCCGCCTGTGCTTTTGGGTCAGATGTCAATTGGCCATCCCACCTCAAGGGGGAAACTCCAGCGTTTGAGGACTTTTGGTGTTTCACATAGCTCCAGAAGCGCTTGTTCTTGACATCTTTGGTCGGGGTGTCTTCCTCTGAGAAGATGCCGTTCATGTAGTTCCAATACGATCTACGCAATAAGCGTTGAATGGTTCGGCGGAGTCTCAGTACCTCCTCTCTCAGTTCCATCGAGCCATTTTTCTTCATGCGTTTGTATTGGCGGTCTCTCCTGTGGATGAGCCTACGGATTTCAGCCGTGACCCATGGCTGATTTATCCTAGGTTTGGTGATTTGGTGTGGTATAAATTTCTTCACTGCATCAGTGATTGTAGTCTTGAACTTCTCCCACAGCTCGTCTGTTGTCGCTGTACCTTGAATCACCTTCATGTTTGAGCTTAGCTCTGTGGTTGCAATCCTTAGGCCATCCCAGTCTGCCTTGGCATAAATTGGGATTTCTCGAATGATTTGTTTCATTTTTAGTGTGTTGACCTGAAATTCACAATAAGGAATGCTGTGGTCCGAAATCCCGGAGATTTATTTTAAAGTTTACTAAAGTTTAGTAAACCAGTCAAAACAATGCAAAAATTTTAAGGCTTTGTGTGTGTAGTTATTTTATAATAAAAAAGACATAAAAGTGCATGTTTTTTGTTTTTTTTTTCAATTAATTATTACTCATTTTCAGATTTTTTAGATTTTGAAATTCCTTTGAAAGCATTGATTATAATGTTACTGGATTTGTAAAAGAATTTAATAAATGAAACAAAAAATAATAATGATGCAAATTATTAATTTTTTATGAAGTGTTCACAATATGAATCATCATAGAAGCATGGGTGCCCGCAGAAAAATCGATTAACTTTCTAGGGGGGGGGGGGCAAAAAATTTTTAGTAATCTTTTAATGTAGTTTTAATTTACTGTAGCGTATTTGTATGGTAAACGAACGGACAGGACATTAGCTTAGTTATTTTGTCTTTATTTTCTCTTTACTTTAATAAATTTTTTGTCTATTTTTGTCTAAAAATTTTTTATCAAATCAATCCGGGGGGGGGGCGCCCATGCATAGAATTAAATGTTCTCATTCAGGATTGATTTATTATAACGACCATAACTTCTTATTATTATTGCCTCACTTTTATGCATTTTAAAATCATTAAGTTCATCTATTAATCTGCAGATAGATGATTCAATTGCTTACTCATCCAAATTTTTTAGGATGGCTTTATTCGACTACTTGACATTTCAAAAGACGAAGTCTCAATCATTGAAGAAATACCTGTGAAATATCCTGTGTCTACTTTGAATTTTAACTACAGTTATCAGCATCTGGCCTGGGGCTCACCGAAGGTTAGTAAAACGTTCATAATCACAATTTGCCCTAAATGATTGTTTTTTTCCAGTGGTGAATGCAGACGGAAGACAACTGAGGTCAAGTACAATAAATTAATGCAAAATATACACAATTTTTGTCAAAATGTTTACTAATTTATTTTCATATCATCCTTTAGGGTATCATCCAGTATTTATCAGTTGGAGATAAAGCATCAGTAACTACCTTGATAGAAATGCCCAGAGGAAACTTCGTCGGTGTTGGGGGCATGACTATAGGATCTGATTGCTGTGTGGTAAGTTTCATGACAGGCTTATACTAATGTCAACGTAGATATGGGATTTATGTTTATAGAATCTCAAGAGAAATGTCCTTAACTTTGATGTTAACCTTTGTTTGAAATTAACCCCCCCAAAAAAAACATGTGCTGTAAATTTCTCATTTAACCCCTTTAACACACTGCATGAGATTTATTATGCAGTTTTGTTTTAAATAAGTTTTATTCCTTCTCACATGTGTTTTTATTTGTAGTGTTTTTGTTCATCAATTAAAGCTTTTCCCCAAAACTTTTTTTGTTTATTTCATCTTAATTTAGTTTCCCCTGCCTAATTGTTTTGTATTGCCATAACATTACTTTATAATGAAGAAATATTTATGTCTTTCCACATGCTATCTATTCAGTCTGTCAGTGTGGAGGGCATACTCCAAATGTGGAAAATAACTGATGGGACCTTTATGGGACAGCTATATTTACAAGAATCAGTAAGTCGCCAGTATTGTTTTAACTCAGTCCACTGATAATCTTTTATGATTTCAAGTTTCAAATGAACAGACACTTCCATAGATTCCAATCATATCTAATAATGTCAAATGCATGAAGCTATATGGATGAACTTTGCAAATTCCTACATTGTTGAATTGAGAAATCACTGTTATCATGTTTGAGAACTGCACAACATAAATGAGTCCCCAGGGAAGAAAACCGCAAATCTATAAACTAATAACTTTGAGGACTTTTTAAAATATAGATAGCTGATAAAACACTTAAGGATTCATTGCTAAAATAATTCTTATTTAGTTATTTAAAAAACAAGAATTCAATAATGTACTTTCACTAACCGCCTTACAAGAATATAGTAACAAAAAATATCAAAACTTTGATCATGTCCATGTTTTAATAGATGTTGTTTTTCTCAATACTGTAATCAGTGTTCCAGCCTGGCATGTAGCCCCATAGCTCAGTATATTGCAGTGGGTACAAGTGGTGGAAATTTGTGTTTTGTAGATGCTACCAAGCCCCAGATGCCTCGAGTCATTATGAAACACAGACTATTTAAAAAATCTTTGGACTACATAGTGTAAGTAAAAAATACAAAAAAATTGTAATTACTGCTATTTTAAACAAAATAAGTTATACCAAATTAGAACTAGCACCAACTAGTTAGACATTATTATACCAGAACAACAATTTCCTTATGTCACTAAAAGGTTAAACACATCAAGCATGCTCTCAATAATTTATTTAGGTCTTTTCATTTCATACTCTTAAGCAAAAATATTACACCACTGTATTGAACACCCAAAGACAATCATTTTTGTCCACTTACTTGTATGTTCACTTTTAACCCCCAACCTCCTTATGCACATTTAAAACATACTCACTGGAGTAGAATTTGGCTGCTCCATCTCATTTTTACAAACCACTATATGGTTTTGGAAATATAATCTGTTTTAAAATTTGGCTCATTAGATGAACAATACATAACAAATGACTGAAAACCAGTATAAAAAGATAAATTATGCCAAAGCTAGTTATATTAGCAATATTCAATTTAATTATACTATTAAATTTCTTTTAAAATACAAAATAAATATACAGAAATAACAACTCTCTCTCTCTCTCTCTCTCTCTCCCTCTCCCTCTCTCTCTCCCTCCCTCTCTCCCTCTCCCTCCCGCTGCCGGCCAGGGAAAGCCGCCAGCTTACTTATAAGGAGGGAGTTTGAACCCTCCAGAAAAGAAATCCTAGAAAGTGCATCACCCTAGATTATTCTCTACCTTCCATTTGCAATTTATTTGAATGTTAACAACCTTTTTCCATATAAGGAATGGGTGGGTAGTGGTAGAGTGCTAAGCATTTAATTGGTTGCATCAATATCAAAACAAAAAGGGGGAGATAAGTGGTGGGTGCTACAGATCCATGTTCATGCAAAATTAGGTCAACACATAGGCTACAACACACATTTTTTTTTGTTATATATAATGCACCTTGGAAGCAGGTTAGGTGTGGTTAGTTTGCCATGTGTAATGAAGTGGATGAGGTAAAAAGTGTTATATTTCTAAATATTATGCAAATTTAATTCATTTCAAGCAAGATGTTTAATAATTAATAAAGCAACAATTTTATAACAATACTAATTAAGGATTAAATATTATGCTGAATTTATGCTTTCCAATAACTTAAAAAAAAAATTAATATCTGTTTTCTCCTACAACATCAGTTATGTGTCCCATTTACCATTGGCTTCAATGAAAGTTATGTAAATGAATTTGAAGTGTGTTTTATTTTTAAAAATACTGTTATATTATTTATAAATAAATTCTTTTAAAAAAAAAATTGAAATAAGATTACTGTCTCTTCAGGTTCAATGGTGACACTGGAAATATCTTGTTTGCTGCATCTAATGACAGCAACATATTTCTTGTAGACGCTAGACCAAGTTGTGGTTTTGTTGTTTTGGGATATCTAAGTAAGTAAAAATATTTAAATAGTTTATTTAAGCAGCACACCTATTTAAGTGTATTGTTTTGATATAACACAATTATTTAATACTGAATAGCATAAAACAACAGTTCAAAATCAACATTTTATCAAAAGATGTCATACATTCAACTAAATACTAAAATCCTTTCAATAAAACAAAGATTTATATCTTTTTTATGTAAATCATATGCTGAAAAGGATATTCATAAAAAACCAACCAACCCAATAATAAACATTTACTTTTAGAAGGTTTTCTTCAGATTTTTTAAATTTAATTTTTTTTTTTTATGTGAGATACATTCAATAAACATGTCTAAGGATCTGTGCAGCTGTATTGTTTGAATGGATTTAACTTTTTTCATATATAAATTGGTCTCAATATTGACCAGTAAGCCTTTATTACTATTAAAATTTAATAAAATATTTCTTGAATCAATATCTGGATAACAATAATATTTTTCCTTATTTCCTGAAAAAGTTCTTATAAAAATGTGTCTATCACTAAATTTTAAACTATTAATATTTTTTCAAAAATCAGGTGTGCTGGGCAATGTTCAAGCGTTGTCAACCAATGTTTTCCAAAAAGATAGGACAATTTTGGTTGCATCTTGCAACAACAATCCAGAAATAAAAGGCTCAAACCTTCTGTACAAGTTCACATTTACTGGTCCTGTTATTGATGGTCAGTAACATTTTATTGAAAGAAAATAGAAGTTTCATTAAAACTTTTGTCTGCTGGTCAACATAATCAGAAAGACATAAATGATTTATCATAAAAAAATTACATCTACCTAAAATATTTTAATATTTTTAAGATGTTTGAATAGATTTAGGCCTAAGTAATTGCAAATCAATAAATTTATCACTTTAGATTTTCTTTATAGCCTCTAATTGTGTCATTTTTATCATGCATCAAAAGGTTAAACTTTGTCAGTAACTTAATTATTATAATTTTATAAATCTAGGGCATTAATATAGAAATATAGTTTATAATGCATCATTTTTTAATCAAATCTTTACTCCTGAACTATTTCCCCACAAACATAGATATCCAGAGGTACTATAAAAATTCTATGTGTGAAATTGATGAACAAGCATGCCATGCATTAAAAATGGGGCTTCGCCATGCAATTTATGGTCTTGCCATTGGAGAAGGAGAAGTTATTTATGCTCTAAGTGCCAGTACTAAGAAAATTTTGGTGTTTAATATGCCAGTACAAGACTCAGAAAGAGCACTGAAAAAGGTGAGGTACATTTCAAGGAGAAGATTTAGAAATTTTGGCTTTCTCAGATAAAAAATTATTATAATCTTTTTTTTTTAAATTTTACATTTAAATTTTTATTTTTATTTGAAGCATCCTTGTGATTCATTAAAAAAAATTAAAATTAACAGTGGTTGTTTTTGTTTTGGACAAGGTTGATGGGTACTGTTTTAGACATAATAGACATGTGTAATTATTATACAAAACTCAACTTAGCTAAAAGCTTATGTGGATTCAGCTATATAATCAGTGGCGTAGCGAGGGTGTTTGGCGCCCGGGGACAAGATTCGCGCCCGGGGACAAGATCCATTTTAAAGCGCCCCCTTTTCTTTTTTTCAACTCTCAAACCCATTATTTTTACCAATAATATAATATCAAATCACATTTTGGCGCCCCTAACTAGCTTGCGCCCGGGGACATCTGTCCCCCCCTGCCCCACCATCGCTACGCCTCTGTTTATAATTAGGAAGATTAAAATGTTTGGGGGAAGAAAAACTACTTATGTATAGACATTGAAATCAATTATAAATGATCCATTGAAGATTTGGCCTAATTGAATTTTTTACCTCCCAGATTGATCTGCTTCTAAGCCCTGTTAGTGAATTCCCTGGTCACCAGCTTAATGGTGGAAGTATTCTTCTGTCCCCACATCTCAAGTGGCTACTTTCCTATTCCAAAGATGGCTCCATCAAAATAAGAAGTGTTGCAACCATGGTGAGAGACATTCATAAATCAAATGAAGTCTAGTACTGCTACATATTTTGTTTTCTGTATGAATAATAATTATATTTTCCACAATTGCTTATCCTTTATGAGGTAAAAATCATCAAACATCTTAATGATTATAACTTATAATGATACGGATGCCTAATAAAACATTAATTATGTCTATAAATATTAATTTGATTTCTTTTATGTATATATTTGTATTGCAACAGAAAAATATTTATAGAATACAAATTTCATCTATATTAAATGTTGAGTTTCTTTTACCTTCTTACCATGACCAAAATAAAATTTAAATCCTGCGGCTGTAGGATTATATTAATATTTATATATTTAGACAATATTTAATCATGAGCAGTTTAATGTCATCTGTTTTGATGCAATTATATTTCCAGGATCGCACTGCTATATTTATCGCACATGAGTATCGTTTTGGAGGAGTGAAAGCTGTTGCTTTTTCTGATGACTGCCAATATATTTTTACATGTGGTTTTGATGGTACTTTTGGCTGCTGTCACTGGATGTAAGTTGTTCATATAACTCTTTGTTTCATTTACTCTGATTACAGTTTTCATTGGCATTAATGTTTTGTAATAATTTTAGCATTCTTTTGTTAAAAAAAAATCAAAATAAATGTAAAAAAAATTAATTACAATGTGCATGGCTGTGTCAAGGAAAAGCTATGCCTGAGGCAAATATGGTATGTATATATTTTTATATATATTTTTAAAAAAATAATGAAGTTTTTGGTGCCTCTTGGTTTAGGCCCCTGGGACATATGTTTCTAATTGAAGGTGAAAGTTAAATCAATATATCAAGAACCAGACACTGACTAATTATATAAGATAGAAAATCTACCCTGATATTTGTTGGTGTTTATAAGCCATCTGTGCACCACAGACAGAATCAGCAACCAATGATTAAAATGATAATGATGTATTTTGATGGCTGGCTGAGGATTAAAAAAAAAAATAGAAATAAGAAGGCATATTTTTAGTAAATTTGTATGAAAAACAAAGCAATCTTTTTCTTGATTCCAGACACACAAAGAGCAAGGGGGTCACAAGCATGTTCAAACAGCGGAGAAACAGAGACATGGAATTTATTCAAAGAGAGAATCAAAAGCTTGCAGACTATCAAGATTGTTTCCAGACAATGCCAGATTTTCGCAGGGCCTCAGAACTTGAGAATGAAAGAAGGGTATGAGATGTAAAAACACAATTATGAAATAATGATTTTTCATTAAAAAAACATGCATAGTTTCAAATTTTCATTGCATGCATTTTTTGTTAATGTAACCGCTAACCTTTCATTGTTGTGTCTTAGTTCACTAAAATGTAAGCAAACACAATAATATTTTAACCTAATTTTAAGCCATATCAAAAATCATCAAGTTTTTTTTAAAAATAATGTTTCAAAATACAAAAATGTAAATTCAATATTTTCATTTAAGGTTAGAATTTATTTTGTACATTCATTTCTTAAAAATATGTTGAAAAAATAAATGCAGTTGTAAGATATAATGAACATTTATAAATTCAGGTTATTCTTTATAAAAAAAGTACACTATATTGCCCTGATCGTTAAAGCTTTTTTTAAATTTAAAAATAATAACAAAAATATTTGAAATCAAATATTTTCAACGCTTAAATATTTTGTTTAATTTTTGTGTGACCAGAGCAGTGTAAATATTTTTTTTAAAGGAGCTGATAGAGCTTGCTAAACAACAAGCTCAAGACAATGACCAGATTTATGTGTCCCCACCTCCATCACCAAGGCTCAATTCCACTTGGCTTGAACAAAGACAGAATGATGTAAGTTTTAGGGATTTAGGCAATTTAATTTGAATTAATACTATTAATTTATTTAGAAAATTACCTTCACTTAATTTAAAGCTTAAAATTTGACAAAGAATATTGATTAATTCAATTAATTATAAAAATAATGTTAATTTTTTTGTAAATTAATCATTTTTAAGTTTGATAAATGTCATATTTATAACAGCTGGCCAATGTTGAAAAAATGTATCCTAGCAAAGCTGTAGCATATGAAATAAACTAAGACATTTATCTTTATATATGTTTACATATTTACGCATTAAAGAATTTAAATTGTCATATGCTTCCCTGCCATCTACTGCCACCTTGATTCTCTTTGAAACAAATGAAAATGCAATACACCATCAAGCCCATTTTTTAAGGATTTCATTTGTAGATTTGTAGCTCATTAATTATGTGGCTAATCCAATTTAGTTTAATTTCTAGAAACAGCAAAAGTATTTATTTTAGTTCAATAGTTTTAATACATGTATCCCCCTAGGCCTTGCGTCAAGAGAACAAACATTATGCCACCATTAAATATGAGCTTCGCTCTCAGATAAGAGATATCAGAAGAACTGTAAGTATACTTTTTCCCCTTTTTTTTTTTAACCAAGCTAAAATATTTAAAGATCAAATAATTAATTTTTGAAAGCTTAGTACACTCAAGCTGTAACTTTTTAAAACATTGAATTCTAAAACATGTACATCACAGATTCAACAAATGATGGCAGAAAACAGGGATCTCCCAGAGATTGAGAAATTGGGAAGGCATGAGTTTGACCTGGATCTTGAAGAACAAAGCAGATTACAGCAAGAAGGGGAAGCAGAAGTCCAAAAAGTTAGTTGGTTCTAAGATTTTTTTGGTTATTATTAAATTATTAATAGTCTCAGAATTCTGATAATTTTTTTTTTATTGACAGATTGTATTTTTAAATGTAAGAATATACACATAAAGCATTTCATTATTTACCAGGTGAGAGAGACAATAGAATTTGAGAACCTGGCAAAGTTATATTTACGAGACAAAATCAAAGAAGAATGTTGGGACAAAATGTTTGTTAAAGGGAGATCACTGCAGGTCAGTATAAAACAATTACTAAATATATAAAAATTTCTCAGAAAACAAAGACAAAATAATTTAATCCTGTAAACTAAACTTCCAGGAAAAATGACAATTATTTCCTGCAAACCTTTATGCAAAATTGTAACAAAACACATAAAGCCACCATAAGTAATCAATGTAACTTCTTTTGCATGATTTTTTTGTCAGGCATTCAATATTGTACTTGAAGTAAGCAATTTTCCACTGCGTGAGCGATCAATTGAATTGTTGAATCTTATCAGGACTGTAGCTATTCGAAGAAAAATAGAGATAAGAGAAGCAGAGGTAATCTTAAATTTTTGCCTTTTAACAACTTTGCAACATTCTCTTCATAAAAATTAAATAAATGTGTTATCATGAATACTTTATTTTTATTTGTGTTATCTATATTTTAGAAATAAGGATTTTAAAATAGAAGTCATGATATCAAGTTTACACAGAGATAGCTTGTGATTTTAAAAAAAAAGAATAAATTATTCTGTTGCCTAAAAAGTATGACACAAGTAATTTTTTTTTCAGGCAAGAAAGGAGCTTGCTGAAGTCACTCCTAAGCCAGCTATTCATGTATGTAAATTGATAATTTTCACAAAGAAGTTTATACATTAAATTAGAAATAAATGAATTTCAGTAATAGTTATGAACTATAATTTGAATGTCGCTCTGACTTTGTTAGCCCAATAAATACACACTATTTTAATGTCTAGAAAACCAAAATTAGGTAAAACTTGATTAATTTCAGCTCTATTAAATGAGTTACTTTAGTTATGAATTTTTGTTTGCATGTGTAAATTTAATGGAACAGGAGGAAGATAATGAAGATGATGATGAAGGCAACAAGGAACATCCATCAGTATCAGGAAGTTTAGGTAAATAAACGAAAACAAAAAACAAATTTATTTTTGAGCAACGAACACTTTAATTCCTTTGGGAAAAATTATCAGTAAAATAAGTGTTCGAGAGCCCTTAAAGGGAAATAAAGATGGGATATGTCAAGGTGACATCCGCCACCCATCTGATCCAACATAATTTTATTTTGCATACAGAATAACTTTTAAAATTCCCTTGAAATGTGCATAAACAGCTGTTCAATTCTACAGGTGCGCAGTATGGAGGAGGAAGCCCACTATTTTACAACCAGTTTGAATTACACACCAGAGAGCAAAAGATGGTACAAATTATACTGTTGGAGGTATGCTGTTTTTAAATTTACAGTTAACCCACGAACTGTGGGATGCATTATTCTGTGGTGTGGAGCTTTTCAGAGCATTTTGGGTGACATTTGAAATTGCATTAAATGACATAGAAATATGGATACAATACCCCAATAAGTATATATTTTTAGAAAGGTAAATGGATGGGGATAAAGTTGGCCATATTGCCCACCCCGTAAAAAAAATTTTGCTCAGTGTCCTTGACCTTGGAATTATCAAGAAAAAAAAATTGACAAAATGTCTTGCTTTCAAGTGCTCATAACATCATTACTTTTTATAGATACACTTAAAACACAAATCTAAATCTTGTAGCCAATTCATTTACCTTTCAGAAAATGTATAGTTTGCTAAGGTTTTGATTGCAATTAAACATCTGAAAGCAATTATAGTAATTTTAGGTCATTTATATAAGAAACTGGGGACCACTGCTAAAACCAAGTACAAAATACAAAATCTCAGGCAAAATAGTTATTGACTAGTAAACATTTAAAGAGGAACTGTGGAACTGATTTGGTTTGTTTAACTATACAATTTTTTAGTTCTGAACTATAATCTGTAGATTCTGTGACTAAAAATCAGTCAGTCCTTGCCCAACCTCCGGGCCTGGCTCAAAGTCTAACAGTAGCCTCAGTAGGCCTACTTCAGTATCACTAAAACTAGTAAAAAATTCACGAAAAGAATAATCTCAACTGATATCGTCATGAGGAATGTTAAAATCAACATCAGTATCACTTAAAACCTCTCCTAAAAAGCTTTCAAACATATTTCTATTAGTTCTCGCACTGAAGGCCCAGCCATAGCTTCATCCATTTTAGCTTTAAAAAAAACAGCGATATAAAACTCCGATTAAAAAGTATTTATTTTCCCGTTACCATGAAACAGCTTGAACCAGAAGATGATTTAACTATTAATAAAAGGAAGTGGCTATAATTCCTGTTAAATATTGGATTGGAAGTTGCTTTCAGACTGTGTTTTTTATCGGCCGATTTTTTCGGCCACCACAGTACAGAACGAGAATGTCGGCCGATTTTTTCAACCGACCACAGTTCATGGGTTAAAAAAGGGAAGAACAGAACCACTGTTATCCTGGCAAATAAAACATTTATGTGATTTATAATTCTAAGTTAGTATAATGTATTAATTTGAAAATATTATCACACAATAAATTATGTCAACATCCTTGCTGGCTTGTCTATTTGTTGTAAATAATTGGACTATCATTTCTCTTCAGTAGGATAATGGTACACTTAAATAATGATGCAATATTTTTTTCTTTCTAACACCAGTCATTCTGAAAACAGACTGGTTCTCTTTGTGGGGTAAAGCAGTTTTAACCTAAACATCTAACAATATTTTCAGGATGCAATCCATCGGATCAAGGAGGCCTTCAACAAAGAGTTTGATGAAGTCTACAATAAGAAGGAACAAGAGATTGCAAAAGTGAGAGAAAAAAACAAAAGGATCATGAAAATTATTAAAGACCTTGACTTGGATGAAGAAATGATAGAACCATCCATGAGTGTGGCAGAGAAGCCCGAGCTACTCTTAGATGTTCAAGACAGTGAGGTTGGTGAATAATCATGGAACATGATTTCATTAAATTATTTAAGTTTTGATTTGAATAAAAATTTAAATCTTTTCAATATTGTGATTATATCAAGGAAAATACTGGTTGAATTAATCTATGTACAATATTAGCTTAAGTTTATTACATATTTCTTACTTCTTTATTGTTGAAATCAGCTAAGATTTATGATTAGTGTATGAAAAATTTATATACAAGAATAGTTGCAAACATGGTTGGAGAAATTTTTTTTAATTGATGTTTTACATGATATTTTGTATTAATATTTTTTTATTTGGCCCTTGTCCTTATGAAAAGTGTGATATATACAATATATTAACATCAATATTTACTTAAATCGTTATCTACAAAAACTGGTTTGGGTAAATGTACTGATAATTGAATGCTCAATAAAATTGTGAGATCATATATTTCAGATTAAAGTAGAGAAATATTTAACACCAGAACAAAGAAAGAAAATGGAGGAGGAAAAACTCCTGGAGGAGGAAAGGATAGCGAGGGAAAGGGGAGACAATGCAAGAGAGAGAGCCTTGGAAATGATGATGGGTGGTGTTCTGGAGATCAAGAAAGAGGATGAGCTGAAAAAGGTTAATTTTTACTTTAGCATTATAAGGTATTCACACCTTCAGTATGCATTTGTTTAAATAGCTTTGTTTCTATATAATTGTTTCAGAGAGTTTTCAATAAGAGCATTAATTTTTATAGTTATCAGGAATTTTGTCTATAATCTTTTTTTATATTACAAAAGGATGTTCCAAAACCTGCCTTCATGCTCTCCAAGAAAGAAGATGAATATTCTGAAGAAGAAATGAAAGCTTATAAAGAGTACCTGAAGAAGGTGCAGGACCTCAATGAAGAAAGAGAAAAATTCAGAAAGGTATGCTTGATTTTTCAATTGTTTGTGAGTAAAGTAGATTTTTAAAAACTGTGAAACACAGACAAATCTAAATTATTTCTTTGAATTCTGACAATTCCAGCATGAATAATTGTTCAACACACAATATAAAGTGAAAATTGATTGACATAACAACAGTGTAAATAGTTAGTTGGTAAATTATGTTAAAGTACATGAATGAAGCGCGTCAATGATTAATTTTCTAAAAGATTATAGCTGTATGATGAGTATGAGAATGAATTCAGCTATATTCTGTGCTAAAAGACATAGAGATTTGAATACTTAATAAAAAGGAATTAAGAACCACAATTTCAAATGTTTTAAGTTTAAGTATTCCAAAATGAAAATGAATTTTTTTACAAGTGTTAATGTTACAGAAAAAATCTGGCAAGAAAGCTACAATACCAAAGCCACATTTTTTTTTTTGAAGTCATTCTTTTCATGTGTTGTATTAAGACCATCTCAATTTTATTTTTTTAACTTGTTTTTTTTTATTAAAGTAACTGTATTAACTAGAATCATCCTCTGCTTGTTAATTGTGTCACTCTTTAGCAATTGGAGGCAGAACTGAGAAAATTGCAGTCAGGAATACAAGAGTCACTTCAAGCCTTTGATGATGCACTCAATGTCCTTTTCATGCACAAAATTAAAGTGATGATGGTCATCTATCAAGTAAGATTCATTTTTTAAAATATATATGAAACTGATGATCTTAATGGTTTTCAGAAACATTGTCCACATTTTAGTAAATTGTTAGTATAGGAAAAAAATAAGAAAAGTAGTATTTGCAGTGGGAATAAATTACAAGGCCATAACTCTCACACTTTAATAAAACTCATTGGTAAAAAACATAATGAAACTGTAAGGACACAACTAAATAACTAAATTTTTTGCAACTCAATTGCATTTCCAGATAATTAAAAGGACTGCATAAAATATTTTCTAAAGCTTTATCCCCCCACCACCACCCCCCACCCACACACAACAAACTCTCCAGACTCAACCATTTTTCTCCATAAATGTACATGAAATTATATAAAAATGCTTATTATTAAACTTAGGAATATTTAAAAAGCCTTTACTTATCAGGAAGAGCTAAAGATTGTACGACTTCGCTTTGCAATGTTGATTCAAGAAGAGATCTCCACTAGGGACTTGGACCTTCACCAAACACTTGAACATAAGAAACATTTGAAGGTGAGACAGTTCCCATCATTTAAAACAGGGAAAGGTTTTTATTTTGCTAAAGAATGTATGTTTTCAGCAATTGAGCATACATTCTGACACAAAGATGTGAAAATAAATTAATTCCTAGGATTCTAACCTGTTAAAATCTTTTTAAAGATTCTGAAGTCAGCCCCATTGTGTAATGGTAATGTTGTCCTCCTTTAGACCAAGAGAGAGCAGATATCTATGTGAAAAAATAGCTGGGTGGAAGTAGCCCATTAGACTAGAGCAGTGGTTCTCAACCTTCCTAATGCCGTGACCCTTTAATACAGTTCCTCATCTTGTGGTGACCCACAAACATAAAATTATTTTAGTTGCTTCTTCATAAATATGTGTTTTCCGATGATCTTAAGGGACCCCTGTGTAAAGGTCGTTCAACCCCTAAAGGGGTCATGACCCACAGGTTGAGAACCAGTGGTCTAGATGAACAAATATTCTTGGGGAGGAATAAAGCACTGAGTATATAACCTCAGGCATTAGACTAGGCATGTGATGGAAGATCAGTTGCCTCTGCAATAATAGATGTAGACTGACCAGTAAGTGTACAGCTACTGGAATAAATCTGGAATGTAAACAAAAAATTTCTGAGCAGCTTTTAGATATTTTCTTTTATCATTCTCATTGGCAAAACTATGCGAAAATATGAAGAGAAGAATCACATTCCACCTTGTCAGGGCTGATTTTAAGAATCACATTCCACCTTGGCAGGGCTGCTGTTAAGAATCACATTCCACCTTGGCAGGGCTGCTGTTAAGAATCACATTCCACCTTGGCAGGGCTGCTGTTAAGAATCACATTCCATCTTGGCATGGCTGATGTTTTTGTTGTTAGCACAGAATTTAAATTTTTAGTTAAATCCCTAAATTCTGTATTACATTTTTTTTAAATCTATTTTTTTTTAAATCAGCAAATTTCCTTTGAAGCCATGGCAGAAGCTCGCAAGAATCTAGAGACTTTCCGCAATGAGTACGATCACCTTCAGGCGGAAGACAAATACCTGGACAAATCATTCAGGAGAGAATTTCAAGATTTATCTGGGATTCTGGTTGATGCCCTTTACAAGCAGTTCAAGAGAAGACCAAGGTTAGTTTATCTCATCGTACTGTACACTACTCAAAGAAGAAAAAAGAAAGAAAGCACAATTTTACTGCTGAACTCAAACAATCTTTTTTTTTTTTCTTACTAAAATATGTTCAAGCTATATGTATCTTCTTTTGTTCTAGAATATTTCCCACTTTTAAAACAGCAGAGTGCCCAAAATATCAATAGTACTGTTAAGGTCATCTCAGTAATAAATGGAATGTTCAATGTCAGGATGAAAGGGAGAGTACCCTTAATTAAAAAACTGATTATTTTCTTTTTGAATTTGTCTCATGTTGCAGCTGATTTGATATCAGTGTAAGTTTTGTATTTACATTATTAGAACACAAAAATTCAAATCAATTGATGGTGGAAAGTCACTCAATCCATTTTCGGATCGCCCTTCATCTTCTATGTTGCTCAACAACCTGAGAGGGCAACTTTCTAATGGCTTGGACGAGTTGGACAAAGCCAGTAACATGCCAGAAGGTTGTGATGGGAATGCTTGGGAGAAAATGTGCAAGCTCAGAAGAAACAAAGTAGACAGTGAGTTACAAGTAAGTTCATATCATAGCTGTTTATTTGATAGCATGAAAACGTTTAAATTTTAAAATTAATTTTATAACTGCATAAGATGAGAAGATTTTGTGATCAAGCACAGTTTTTAATGTTCATTACTAACATTATTTTGTTGTACATAAATTATTGCTATCTTTCATTGAAGGCGTTGAACTGTTTGTTAACATTGACTTCTTTATTAATTTTTGTAACTAATTTAAAGCTTAAATTTTGTGAAAATTAATTTTCAATGCTTTTGACTTGCAGCTCAAGATGAAAGCAAATGTACTAGCGGAAATTCAAACATTCTTGCAAAGACGTCATGATGAGGATGAAAAACTGAAATCAGATATTGAGACTTTAACACACCAAATTACAAAGTAGGTTTTAAAAACTAGAAAAAAAGATTCACGGCATCTTAATCTGTTACTTTGTATAATTTGTATTTTATTTTTTGGGGTTGGCTTGTTTTCTGTATAAGGTATCCCAAACAATGAAAACTAATTTTAAGAGGAGTACAAAAATAGTTCTAATTGGGCACTTTTGGGTTTATGGGCACCTCATTTTGCCCCTCTGTAACCAAGTAAGTGGCCCTTGATTGTGCCCCCTAGCTCTGTGACCAAGTAAGTGACCTTTGATGGCCCTTGATTGCATATATTATTTCTTTGAATTCACCCTTAGGATCAAGGATGATGAACTGAGATTCACTCTAAACCTTGAGGTCCAGCTACTTTTGAAACAAGGTCAGATTGAGGTGGATGCTGGGCCATTTATCAGAGACTTCAGACATAGTGTACTTGTGCACCGAAGTGTTGTGGAGGATCTCAATGCTACTATTAAAGTAAGGAATCTACACATTTTATGTGAAACTAGTAAGATTGTGAAATGTTTCAAACTCTCAGTGCAAATAATCACTTCATTCAAAAAATGATTTGTAAAAAGGAAATTGAATAAAAGGTGGTCCACTCAGCACTATGACAAGCCGATATACTGTTTTGTGGGCAATTTATCCCATTTCTAAAACTTATTGGAGAGCACTGATCAGTAAGATATGCTATTTATAAAGGATTGATTTTAAATGCATGTTGGAAAAAACAAAGATTCTTAGAATTCATTCTTAAAATTTCTAATAGTATTTGCATTTTAAAATAAATCTTTAAATTAATTTCTTTTACTAAACATTCTTTAAACTGAACATTTCATAAATAACCTGTCTTATCCTTCTACAGCAACTTGGTGAAAGAAAAATCGCCAGCATGGTTGAAAGCAAGGACTTCAGGAAGGGCATCATACAACTTGAATGGTGACTGACTGATAAAAACTTACCATTTTAATTAGTTAAAAGCAAAACAAATTTCAAATGTAAATTTGGCTTTTTTTTTAATCTTTACTCGATAGAATTAATTTCTTTCAATTCCATTTTCAATGAAAATTAATTGAAAATTCTCAGAGTGAGCAAATGAAAACGTTAAATTGTTTCTTCAATTGAAGCATCATTATTCCCAACTTTTACGTAAGGACACCATAAGTAAATTATTAACTTCACTCTACAGTTCTTTCTACTTTCTTGCCAAATTTTCTTATAAGAAATATTAAGAAAACATCAGTCATCTCTTAAAACCTAGTTTGTCTTTCTTTTAATCAAATAACTTCTTTGCCATCTGGTTTGCTCAAACAGGGAGCACAAGAAGATGTCTATGCAAATGGAGGATCTTGAAAATAAGATGAAAGACATTCAATTTGTCAAAGTTACACGAGAAATTCAAGCGGTAAGTCTGTACTTTCAGGGGAATGATACACCTATATGAGTATCACTACATTATTAAAAACAACCCAGACGGGATTTAAAATTTATTTTCAATTTAGATTTAAAATTTAAAATTTAATTTAACAGTAATGTACTTAAGTGAAAGAAAACTTATTTTTAAGTAATATTTAAAGATTTTCTTTACTACACAAAAAAATCTTCACAAAAATTTTTTTTAAAAATGTAACTTAACCTTATGCTATCAGAAGAACATAAAGTGATAATTTTCAGTAATTTTTTTCTATTCTTTGCATAAAAAAAATAATCATCATTATTTATTATTTGACTTGCAAATAAACTGCATTATAGAAATGTTTTGTTTTTTTTTATTCTTAATTTTTTTTTAAAAATGCTTTGTCTGATTGTCTTAACAGTATCTCCAGGAAAAGGATTATGAGACAAAGAAAGCTGAGGAAATTACAAAACTTGAACAAACAATTATACAGCTGAAAAAGGTGATTACACTGTAACTTTTATTAAAAAACGAATCACATACAAAAATAAAGGAAATAAACATTCTTTAAAACAGTTCAAGGAATCTACACAGAAATGAGACTATAAAAAAATATAAGACTTAAAATAAAGCAATCACCATCCCAAAAGTCTTTAACCGAAAACTCCAGCTTAAATTTTGTTTACCTCAAAAATCTTTTCAGAGAGCATTGAAGTTTTCCTATAAATAACTCAATTAAATTACTAAAGTAGTAAATGCCACAGCTAATGTTAGAGTTAGTTTAAAACTTTTCCCAGCTTAAATGTAGTTTTTAAATTAAATTGTGTGTTATAAGCCTAAAATAAATATTAGCATTTCTATAAAATTATGTTCACCTATTGCACTTAAAATGATTTTAATTCCATGTGAGATTATGGCTTACTCTATACCTTCAAGTCAAGTGGTATATTGATACTAAGTTACTTTAATGCTTCATCTCTCGACAGTATCATGAAACAACAATAACACAGAAGAAACAAAAGCTCAAGGAGCTCTCCAAGGGAACTAAGGTAAAGAGCATCACTAACAAGAAACTTGATGAGGAGTTACTGGACCTGAATGTTGTTGTCAATGAAAGGAAGCAGATCGAGGACATTAACAGTGAGTATCGTTTGCTGATTTGAACTAAAACATAACAGAATACTTTGTTTCAGAGCTATCAATAAAGTGGATGATTTTTCTTTACCCTGGGATTATTCCTAGAAATTGAGGAAGAGGTGTTGAGAAATTAAGGTTGCAGGTGTTCGCTGATGGCATCTACCAAATAAGTTATAGAGTTTTTGTATGTACCATAACAGTAGTGTTGTCACAGATGAGTGTAGTGACAATAAGAAATTAGTCCCATCAATATAAATAATATTTTAATTTTTAAATGAAAGGTTGTACAGGATCAACTGCAAATTTTTTACAGAAATCTCAAATTTCTGTTGTTCGTAAGCAACCTATGGCTTAATGTCAGTTGACCTCCGAGGGATGGTGAGCCTCGGGTGTAAAACTATTAGCAAGCTATATTAATAAGATACAATTTATACCTGATATCTTAGCATGGTCCTTATCACTTTATCAGCAGCTGTTCGAAACATTCTAAGTTATAGAATAATTATGAGATTTCATGGGTGCGTTTATGAGAAACTGCAATGATTTCCAGCAGGGCTGCTCTGAAAATTTACCTGATTCTCTCAGCCATGTTATAAATTTTAATGTAAAGATTTGATACGCATTAAATTATTATGGTTAAAGAAATTCTCCCAAAGGATCCTAATGAAAATTTAAATAACATGTTAAAATATTTAGTTAATTTCTATGTCTTCAAGCTCATGAATTTTACAAATTCTATTGTAGTGGAGAGCAGAGATGATGATGCTGTCAACAGGCGATATAAAGAGATTATACAGAGAAGAAAACTGGTGGACCTGGCGAAGGCCCAAGCCCAGGAAGTCGCCGTGTTGAGAGCTGAGGTAGAAAGACTGCGTATGCGTACATTCCCAGCACTAGTGCAGGTGGAGCACTGAAGTGTTGACTTTTTAGTGAGATTGCAACATGCTTAACTAAAATAAAGGGAAAATGAGAAAACATTCATTTATAAGAATTCATTTCATTAGCTTCATAAACAGATTCATAAAATTACAGTCTTTAAATAATTATCTGTATTTGTTATTAAAAAAATACTTACCACACAGCTTCATGGATCAGTGAAAGTCATAATTCATTTTTTAATGGTTTAAAAAAAGTGTATTCATTTTATCAAATACGAGTGAATGTGAGGATTATGATGAAAAATAAAATATTTCTAAGATGAATAAGCAATTGCTGAAATTTCACATAGCATAAGCTAGGGAAATTATAATTTCTTATTATTAAAGGTTTTGAGTTTTCAAATGTTATTATCACAGTGATTAGGATAATGTTGTATAAACTTTATTTTAATTGTTTTTGTTAAAACTACTGTGTATGCCAGATTCAGATCATCGTTTAAAATGCATACTATGGATACAAAAAAATGGAGGGATTCTGGCAGTGTCATGTATATATATTAGTTGGACTACAATAATTTTTTACGGATATCTACATAGATTTTCTCCCCCATACACCTGTGTGAGTATTTGACAAAAACTGTGATATAAATGAACCTGGGTTCATATTTAATTGTTATCTTTTTTTTCTTTTTTAGAGTTATATAAGTGTTACAGATATAATCTGGCACAGCTTTGTTTAAGTTTATCATTACAATAATTTTTTACGGATATCTACATAGATTTTCTCCCCCATACACCTGTGTGAGTATTTGACAAAAACTGTGATATAAATGAACCTGGGTTCATATTTAATTGTTATCTTTTTTTTTTTTTTAGAGTTATATAAGTGTTACAGATATAATCTGGCACAGCTTTGTTTAAGTTTATCATTATCAACGAGATGACCCTTTTACTGCTGAGTATCATGCTGCTTATGGAATCAAAGGAATTTACATTTTAAATTCTTTATTTTTTTACGATATATAAGTATAAGTATATTATTTATTTTAAGTATGAAAACTTCTGTGATGGTAACAGAGTTGAGTTAATATTATAAATTTACCTAAAATTCATGCTAATAAATAACATAGCAGTTACTTTTTGCAGAAATTGTTATACTAAACAAATCACAAAAAATTGATGTACTGTTTAGAAAATAGAAATGATAGAATTATTATGGGACATAATATTTTGTATTTTATCCCATAAAATTTTTTATTATGATGTACAAATTGATAATGAAACAAATGGTTACAGTGTTCCAAACTGATGTAGTCACAAATAGTAAACAAATTGAAAACTCAATATTGGTTTAAAATATATCAATTTTAATAAATTGATTTTTTTTTTCAAATAAAATCACATTTACACCTGATAATGTGTACTGTACAGTTATTTTTAAATAATAAATTAGTTTTTAATCAAAAATAGAATGAATTGAGTTTCTGTAGCGAAAATTCAAAATACTATTGTACTTTCCTACACATTAAAATGTTTCTAAAATAGTATGATATCCTGTATCTACCAAAGGATGGGATTAAACCAATTTAAAAAATACAAAATTCTGTTCTTGGTATTTTAATAAAATTGATTTTCTTGTCGTCATTGATTCCTATTTCTATACAACTCAAGAGATTTTTAGTTCAATAATCAATAATTTTTTGCATGAGTTAGTGTGGTGAAACTTAGATTTCTTTTTTTTAAGGTCAGAAAAAAAAAAGATTTTTGTTACATCTTTTTTTCATTTCAACAACTAAAAATTAGAAATTATTTGGAGAAACTTGACTGCTAAACAAGATGTTGAAATTAAGGACAGTCCATCATTTCACCAACTCCACAATCCAGATTTTTATCTCCATTTTCAAACATAAAATCTAGAGACAACATATGATATTGATGCTGGAAGACTCGTTATTTAACTCAGTAAAGTATTCTTTTAGTTATCAAATGGTTTAGTCATCAAATAGTTTAGTTATCAAATGGTTTAGTTATCAAAAGGTTTAGTTATCAAATGGTTTAGTTACCAAATGGTTTAGTCATCAAATGGTTTAGTCATCAAATGGTTTAGTTATCAAATGGTTTAGCTATCAAATGGTTTAGTCATCAAATGGTTTAGTCATCAAATGGTTTAGTTATCAAATGGTTTAGTCATCAAATGGTTTAGTTATCAAATGGTTTAGTCATCTAATGGTTTAGTTATCAAATGGTTTAGTTATCAAATGGTTTAGTTATCAAATGGTTTAGTTATCAAATGGTTTAGTTATCAAATGGTTTAGTCATCAAATGGTTTAGTTATCAAATGGTTTAGTTATCAAATGGTTTAGTTATCAAATGGTTTAGTTATCAAATGGTTTAGTTATCAAATGGTTTAGTCATCAAATGGTTTAGTCATTAAATGGTTTAGTTATCAAATGATTTAGTTATCAAATGGTTTAGTTATCAAATGGTTTAGTCATCAAATGGTTTAGTTATCAAATGGTTTAGTCATCATTGGTTTAGTCATCAAATTGTTTAGTTATCAAATGGTTTAGTTATCAAATTGTTTAATTATCAAATGGTTTAGTCATCAAATGGTTTAGTCATCAAATGGTTTAGTTATCAAATGGTTTAGTTATCAAATGGTTTAGTTATCAAATGGTTTATTTATCAAATAGTTTAGTCATCAAATAGTTTAGTCATCAAATGGTTTAGTCATCAAATGGTTTAGTAATCAAATGGTTTAGTCATCAAATGGTTTAGTCATCAAATGGTTTAGTTATCAAATGGTTTAGTCATCTAATGGTTTAGTTATCTAATGGTTTAGCTATCAAATGGTTTAGTTATCAAATGGTTTAGTTATCAAATGGTTTAGTCATCAAATGGTTTAGTTATCAAATGGTTTAGTTATCAAATGGTTTAGTTATCAAATGGTTTAGTTATCAAATGGTTTATTTATCAAATAGTTTAATCATCAAATAGTTTAGTCATCAAATGGTTTAGTCATCAAATGGTTTAGTAATCAAATGGTTTAGTCATCAAATGGTTTAGTCATCAAATGGTTTAGTTATCAAATGGTTTAGTCATCAAATGGTTTAGTTATCAAATGGTTTAGTTATCAAATGGTTTAGTCATCAAATGGTTTAGTCATCAAATGGTTTAGTTATCAAATGGTTTAGTCATCAAATGGTTTAGTTATCAAATGGTTTAGTTATCAAATGGTTTAGTTATCAAATGGTTTAGTTATCAAATGGTTTAGTTATCAAATGGTTTAGT